ATGTTAGCGCTGTACTTGCAATCACACAGAAATGCCGACATTACCTCAGCAAGGTACCTGGAGATGTACCCCGAACGACGGCAAGAAGTGCCAGATATTCCGCCTTGGTGGTTCACATTGCATTTATTCTTTGTTTGTTTTATGGATGGTCCTCCAGTTAGATTGTCGAACTGATGGAATGGCTTGAACTTATAAGTCAATCAACATATCTTGCTGTCCGCCAAATGAAAACAGATTTTGAAGTTGACGTTTACTAATGTTTCAGCCAATACAACATATAACGTAATACTTGCTTGTGGCTTTTACAGACACTAGACGTCTTTTTGGCGTGTAAAAGCCCATACCAGAGATTTATTACGTAATAGACTAATTATTGTCAACAAATTTTGTGAAACATCAACTTGTGCACTAGGTAGCCGCTAGTCACCGCCTGTTCATTTCGCGCCTACTACAAGTGAGCATGAAGTGAATGTCACCTACTCGTAGTTCAAAGGTAGCATTTTATAGTAAAACCTACGTAATGTCAAAAAACCTACACTACGTCTATAGCCTATACGAGTATATCAGAAGAAAAGACAAAATGACCAAAAAGCGACCTCAAGACTTCTGACGTCAGACTGATCGAGGCGAGTACCAGCTACTGCACATGCGCAAGAGATCTGAAGTTATAGTACAAGATCCGGTCGCTTGAACCTGCTGGTTGCTTTTTCACAGAGCTTAATTTTTATGAATGATCAATAATAGTTCAAGAGATTATAGCAAGGTTTCGTTTACCAGGCAACTACTACTATTATTTATTAGTAATCAAAATCTTATAAGAAACCAATATCTGCCGATTCAACCGGCTGAATCTTAGAGTGTTAGGAGTGTGTTCGTATGACGGATCTGTCAAAGTACAGCGTTGCTAGAGGAGTTGGACATACTTTCCCCAGAACAAGCACAAACCCCTCAAAATTGCTACTTTTTCGAAAAAAAGAAACAAATCACAGTTAATTAATGGATAGGTACAGGTTTGGTTCAAAGAGCAGGGTATGTTTTCTATCCGCGAGACGTATGATTCCCCCAGAGCTTTATAGCCCCAAAAAAAATTCCAAGTAAAAATCCCTCAGATTTGAGGGAAAATCCCCAACATGGCAGCGCTGTTAAAGAACCACTGGTACCCCAGGCGTCAAGTTTCGGGATCGTTTTTACAGCATGAACAGCATTGCCAGGTATACAGACTTCATAATAACGTCATAAAAAGTCGACTTAATATTACCTTTTAAGTTGGGTAATACGGGTAATACGGGTGCTGGGCTATCCTGGACTTTGCTAGTTTTGCACAGTGTCATTTTAACAATACAATGGTGGCTTCCGATAGTCTCGGCTTGGTCAATACAGTTTGGACTGTATATTAGCGGCAAAAGCAAATGAACTATCACCTGGAAAACAGATGTCATCTTGTTTTTCTCTTTAAAGTCTACCGAGGTAACAAAAACATTAGTAAATCTTAACCTCAAGATCTGTGGTTTCATTTGGCGGTCAGCAAAACATGGATATCAATCAGCGAGACATGCACGGGTTAAGATTCAGATTCTACATTAACGTATGTATTTCACTAGAGAAAAACACTATGAATGACTTTACCAATTTAATGGCAAACAACGTAGTGGCAGACCAAAATATAGAGGAATGATGAAAAGTAGTGGCTTAACTGAATACTTTTCAAACTTACTGTTTATGTCTACGCAAATACTTCGTCAAGTTTGTGACTTCAGAGTGTTCTTCTTCAATGAAGTGACCTACAAAAAGAAACACTCCAAGAGTGACTTGAGGACAAATGAAGATTTAGAATAGTTAGTACAAGTTTTTTCAGACAAATTAAATCTCTGTTCCAACTACAGCTAGAATCGAAAGTTCGAGTTTTAGCGCATACTCATGTATATGATAAGTAGCATCGATCAGTTGTTGATAATATAGCAGCGGTAGCTATACAACCGTTTACATTGAATTTTACAGTTCATTATGTACAATTGAAAAATTGGCATCAAGTAGGTTGACTCCGCAATTCCCACGCAACGCCGGCACAGTGGGCAGCATACCTTAAAAGTTGGTATTAATTCCCAATTGCCTTTAATCGTATACTAGAAGTGTTATAGTAACCTTTTAAAGCAAATGAGAGCTCACGCAAGATTTCAAGAAATAAAATATTGAGTTATTATACTTTTTTAAGTTTATTCTGGACTGTCCTTAAACAAAAAATATCTTATCTACCTTCTTTCCAAACCACACCCAAAAAGAGGCTCAACTGTCCTTTATACCTTCCTTAATTAACATAAACCACTCATAGACTAACGAGTGGCTGAGAAACACATTCCCTTAAAACATAGAGGGCGTAACAAAAGAATATAATATATTTTATATGATCACACAAATATATGGGTGTATATAAACAAACAAAGCATTGTTTTTCATTTTGGATCACGATATATCATAGAATTCTAATAATAATTTATATGTGGAACAATACATATCAACATAAATCATTATCATAATATGACAATAATGATTCTTCGTTTTCATCATCATCGTCTTCTTCTTCTTTTCTTTGATAATCAGCGACTATCGAAACCTCAAAGAGCTCCAAAGCATCCTTTGTAATGTGTTTAACTTTTTGTTACACCGTTATGAGTGCATAAAGGATTATGTTCAGCACAAGCTAGACCCTGTGAGAACAAGGTCAGTCTCTGAGGTCTATACAATAAGTCAATAGACACTCTTTCCTTGCCCTATCGGCAGTGCTTCGGGAAACGTCGCTTCTCCCCGGTCAGACGTGACAGCGCGGTCAGAGCATAGGAAACACTATGTTGTGGCGCGGTATAAGTACGTGTGATACCATTTTTTAAGGCTTAATGTACCAAGAAATGTATTATGTGTGAAATATGCTTAATACCTGTGTAGAATTACCATAGTTGGGAGCATATAAATGAACTAACATAAAAGAATTGGGATAAATCCCCTCACCTCCTACACTATTTTTTTTTAAATGAACAGGATTCTCTGAAATCTCAAGAAACGAAGATCGAGCGATTTTTGCTTTTGTCGTTTTAGGTTTTTCTTCTCTGCCGCCACTGGAGCTATTTTCAATAACTCTTGCGTCCTACGTATGCGAGTAGTAGTAACTGTGTAAAAATTTCATTGAAATCCGAGTGGCGCTTCTTGTTATAAGATTAGCGAACAGCCTTTGAGACAGACAGACCGACTGACGGAAATGAGTAACATTGTTTTTTGTGATTTATAACAAATAACATCCAGAACACATAACTTCTCAATTTTTTAATTTTTCGCCATTACAATACTTCCCCGCCAGTAGTAAAAATAAGTGCAAGTAACGCCATCTATCAGATGAATGCAAAAGTACCCGCTAGATGGCTACCCATATACTTTGGAGTAATAACCGTTAAAACTAAAGAAACATCTATAGTCTACCAATTGAAGAAAGAAACTCAACCCAAACATGGTAACGCAGAGTTCACCTGGTCAGACATAAGAACGCCAAGAAATACATGATGACAAAAATACAATGAATTCTCTAAACCTCCAGCACGCATCTGGAACTGTGACAATTTTACTTGAATCAAAATCATGTTAACGAGAGCTAGTCATGTAATTAATTTCCTATTTTAGTTCTGAACCATAATTATCTCAGGAATGCGCATAAAATTTGTTCGGAAATGACTCGGAATTACTTGATGGAAAAAATCTCAAACTGTGTTGTGTAGTTCCGTACCTGTAACAACAATTCCTATTCCCCAAGTCGGGAATGTAAGAAACGTTCCGATAAATCAGCAGTCGACAAAGCAAACAGAAACAAAAGCAAGCGAGGCATCGTGATACATCCATGCGAGGGGAAGGAGGATATATTGTCACTGATTTCATAGGGGAATTAAATCCGTATGCTCGTATTCCGAACACAACTTGCACATTAAAACGACTGCGAAATGTATTAGGGTCTGATTCGATTTGTTGTTATAGACGGATCCCGTTACCAAACGACGATTTGCTTTGTGACACGTCTTTGTAATCAGGACTGCCGGACTTTAAAGCTGGCCATCTACTGTGTCTTGTATTGTAAGAAGTGAAATCAGGCAAGATCAAGGCACTTAAGTACCCATTGTGTATCTTCTCCAGGTGTTTTAGATAATTGGATTCAATGATATAGTGTTGCGACGCATCTCTGCAATCAGAGCCGCTACTAAGAGGATCCATCTACTGTATTTTTAATGACTGGAATCAATGATATGGCACGTTTTGACGTGTATCTGCGATCAGGGCCGCTGTTAAGGCCGGTAGTCTACTGTTTCTTATATTGTAGGAAGCAAAATCAGGGAAGACCAGAATACTTAAGCTCCATTAGTCTCATTGTGTGTCCTCCCCAAACGTTTTCTTTGTCATCGCCAAAGCAGCTGCGTAGGCAGAAGCCTAAATACCGGGACAGTAGATATGCTAGTAGCACTGAGAAAACTATCTTCAGGCAGATTGTTCCACAATATCGAAACCCAAGGGATAAAGGTGCGGTCGAATCGCCCAGTTGTGGATGTACGACAGTCGACACAGTTAAGATAGGAGGCCGAGGAGCAAATGCTGTTGACATAGCGATAGAAGAGAACCAGATCGTCGTCGGCCCGTCGGTGCAAGAAGGTCCCAAGACTGTCCATTTGAGAGGAGTCATCGGTTAGTCGGACAGCCCTCCTCTGAAGAGAATGGAGCATGAACGTGTCCCTCCCAAGTGGTTTTTATAACTGGATTCAAAGATGGTGCATGGTGACGCGTCTCAGCAATCAGGGTCAGTATTAACGCTGGCCATCTACTGTATCTCGTATTGAACTCCATTGATCCCATTGTCTGTCCTCCGCAAGGAATTTTCATCACTGCGTCGTGTCGCATCTTTGCATTTAGAGCTGCTACTAAGGTCAGCAATCTACTGTGTCTTGTACTGTAGGAAACAAAATCGGGCAAGATTAAACTCTTTGTGTCCCTTTTTGTATCCTCCTCATGCAATTTGTATGTCTAGGATCAACGATGTGGTTCATTATGACGCATATCTGCAACCAAAAAAGCTATTAAAATCAGCGATGTACTTTGTTTTTGAGAAGATTAATCAGCAGAGATCTGAGGCCTTCGGCTCTGTTATGTTCCTCATACCTTCATCCTTAAAAAGGCTTCCTCAAAGCTGAATATTCCATAACCATGAACTAGAAAAAAGTGATAGTCACAATCCCAGTCAACAGTTCCAAGTAAAATGGAGTATCTGCTTTTATCTAGAATGTAGTGGAATTGTGAAGAACAGCTCAGAGGTGCACATCCATTGACATGTCCACGCATGTCTATAGAGAAAGCTAGGGCAGCTACCGTTCATCGATGTGAAGCAGGTTTGGTACGGCCTGTTGAAGTTCTTCTAATCAGTCGAGTTTTCCTCATCCGAACCACATTTGTAGAAAGTGTATCCATTCCAACAGCTTTCCGGATATGCAAATAGTATTCTGGGTTGGATCAAGCTTTGCACAGAGAGCAGTTCAGATAGTGAAAAGTACTTTTTGACTGTATAGAGACACATCATCCTAAACGTGCGTTTTGGTAGCTTTACTTAGTCAAACTGCTGGAGCATTAAAATTATCATATCCCCAACTGCCCATGTGGTGCTAGGTAGAAGGGGTCAGTCAAGGATTTGTTTTTCTACTAATTCTCATAGTTGAGCTATTTTTTAAAAGTGCGAGTGTTTGGTGATAGTTATGGTGTCGGGCCATTCCAAGACATGGCTTTTCTTACATAATTTACAAAATGGCGCAAGGCTAATGAAGGTAGCTGTATGAACCGGTAAGTATTCTTAATGTGTTGTTACAACGCTGTCACTTTGGTGGTAAGTATTGGTAATCAAATGAGTCAGAAATTACTCAAAAAAGTCAAAGAGTCTCTGTGGCGTAGAGTACGGGCTTGTGTTAAATCAAGAGGTCGTCACTTTCAACACCTCCTTTAGTTTCGACGTTATATCACTTATTCATCATTATTTTTTGATCCCACATAAATTTGGAAATAGCCTCGTAAGTGGTATCAAATGTATTTTGTATGGTTGTCGTGCTTAATTCTTATTAGATTTATTTGTTTATTGTATAAATAAACGTTTTCCTTGTTTTGAAATTTCTTCATCTATAAACTAAAATTAATACACCGGCAAAGCCCATGGCATACACAGGATAGGTTTAATTAATGGTAAGCTTCTACGCTACTGATTGAAGATAAGTCACCCATATTATTCAATCAATGTTGTAATCAGGTGCCATAGCTTATTTCACAAACCATTTAGTGTTTCCAATGTCAAGCTTCACGGTGTTTTCAGAATACGGGTGGCTAAACCTTTACATAAAAATATTTTAAGATTTTACCTGAAATGTTCAAACCTAAATATCTTCAAAACGAGTGGTCTGACAAAAAATACCCAAGAGACAGAATTTATGGAAAATTGAACTGTATTTTATAGGATTCACAGTGGCATAGAAACCATTTTCTATTACAGGAAACTTAGACGTAGATATATTTTTTCCAAATTCTTAAATAAAACTTCATCACCCTGTATTTTGGTAGAGAAGTATCTTTGGATCCATATTTATGGGAACTTTTTTGTTAATTTTAGATTTACTTCCTACCCTAGAAATATTGACACGTCTTTCTGAAACAGCCTGTATTTTCCATTCAAAAAAGTTATAAATCACAGTTTTCGCGGGAGAAGCTGTACGTTATCACATAGCTATTTAACTTTAAGGTCCCTACGCCGAATACTACACCTTTAGGAATAAAAGAAGTACGTTGACTTGAAATTTGAGGTTTCTAACCTCAAATTGCTTATTTGACCAATCTTCGATCTGTTTGACATGGTTGTGAGTTATCTAGGCAGCCTGACTTTTTGACGTGACCACCAGAAACCATGAAAAGAGCTAAACTCCATTCTGCTAGTATAAATGTAGCGCTTTGTGAATAGTCTGCCACATCGGTCGCTGTTTCTATTTGTAAACCAGAATTAGTCCAAGAGCTCACCGCAAAGCTTTGTTTACATCGCGTACTGACACGGAATGTTATAAACTAGTCAAATCTTACGTATTTTGATGCTAAACAGCAAATTTGGCAAGTTTGCTGTTTAGCATAAAAATACGTAAGATGTGATTGTTCTTGTTATATCATATCAGTACGCGATATAGAATGGCATTCCACGAAGTGTCTTCTCTCCATATAACTCTCTCTCTCCCCCTGGCTATCTCTCTCTCTCTCTCTCTACTCTTTTTCATAATGTTACCTCTCTAAATGACAGGATGGGGTTACTCTGCAAATCTGTGACAGGCGTGAAAGACTCTTGATGGACTTATATTTTTGTATGATGCGGAAAACTTAAAATACCTGGCAACCCCGCGCAAGGGTCAATATTGGTTGGCTGATTGCTGACAGCTGTTACGAACGCGGGACAAAGCTTGTTAAATGAGTCCGCGACGTAATCTGCGCCCGAACCGTTTTTAATTTAAAAAATTTCCAAGCGGAAAAATTTGACTCGACACCTTATTAAAGTGGAATTAATCGTGCCTCGGATTAGAAATGATGAATAAGCGCGGAGCAAATTTGCTCCCGTTGAAAGCGTCGGGTCGAGTGAAAATACACCACCACCGACAACATTCCAGTTAGCGCCAGATTAAAATCAAAGGGCTTAGTATTTTTTGTTTTTGGTAAATTTCTTAATAGGTTCGGTACCACAGTTTGAGGAGGCTAATTCGAAGACACTGAGGTACTGCGCTGATAGTTCTGGATATGGTGTTACGATGGAAAAATAAGAACAGCGTAATAAAGAAGGTAAATATAACATGTTGTCCCACGAAGACCATTCACCAGCCTCCATGTATGGCTTTGAGTTGAACGGCTGTAATAAAATATACCATGGAATAACATAGGCTAAATACGACCTGTTCACTTTCAGTCTCTGCCACCATAACCGAACATACTCGTATACAACATTCTTTAATGCTTTCTAGCAATCATCAATGCGGTATAGGTCCGGTTAGTTGGAAACAGCTGACAGAAAGCGAAAAAGACATACTAATAATAATAACAGTAATAATAATATAAATGATAACGTTTATTGCTAAAGGAAAAGGGTATAGCAGTAGTTAATAAAAGAAAATGGCATACAATAAACGAAAGTTTCGCATATTTGTATATAGTATACCATATTACCATATTTTACCATCATATGTTTCACATAATATAGAGGTTGCCAAAAATGAAAACTAATTCAGCATTTTTGGAAATTAAAAAAAATTTCTTCTAACGCGTACGTGAGAATTTTATGTTGGCAATAATTTTTACACTTCCACATTCTTTCATGACATATATCTGTCATCTGACTACCACGTCACATCTCCAGGTCACTCACCGTCACCGCGTCCAACAAGTGTATGGTGATAAAAGAAATTTTCTGTCCCCAAAATTTAGTGTTAGTTTTTTTAAAATTTGAGTAATTTTGCATTTTTAATCTGTTCGGGTTTATTGACACACAATGTGTCCGGTATTTTGTCTTTACAATTGTAACAAAATAATCAATTAGCAACAACCTGACCGATAGGATTTCCAATCCGCGATCCCGGGATACCGAACTGCCGGGATCCCGGTTAGTTTTTAGTCCCAAAACTCCCGGGATTGAGATATACCAGATCTGTCACCACTAAACCTAATTGACAAAGATCGACAAATTCAAAGAGACGTCTTGATACTCTTGACGTAAATAAAAAAGAAATATCACTTTGTGAACAGGGAGGATTAAGAGGTTTATATTTGCAACAGTGTTACGAATATCTACTGACCTACAAGTTTGGAAGCTGAAAGAGCCTTTTCCTTTGCGGTCTCATTCGCGACCAAGGTTACATCGCACTTAAGTGACTTAAGTTTAGATACATTGGTATTTTTAAGAGCATATTTTATCTTACTAAGCAAAACGTAAGTGTTTAATAAGAATTAGTTATGGTTTTTCAAATAGATTAAAGTATTGTTACCTATCTTTTTACTTACATAAAATATGTAAATACAGAAAAACATCTTTGATTTTTGTGTTTTTTAATAATTATTTTTCTATTAGTCTGTGTCGGTATTTTTATTTATTATAAGATATTAACGCTAGATTTAAAAAAGTATTGGGATTGATCCAGGTATTCCGGGATTTCAAAATAGGATCCCGACTCCGAAAATTCGAAACCCTACTCACCGACGAGTAAGTAATTTGAAATTTTAAATCTGTCCTAAATTGGTTTCTATTTTCATAATTCTGCTTTAGCTCCCGAAGATGAAGACATAGTTTGTCGAAAGCTCGAGATTTCCGTCAAAACAGTTCACTAAGCTTTAAGTTTGCCAATTCCCAATAAACAATTAAATTGTATATTTTGCCCAACTGGCGTTGGCAATGACAATGACTACTGCTCGTATATACAAATATATACGGTATATATAAAGAAGGAGAAAAGTATCGTGCGGAAAAAGGTGTATAACTAATAGAAAAATAATGGGCAAATTCCGCAAAAAGAAGGAAAGTGAATTCGAGCAGAAAATAGGTTAAGTAACCCGAGCGAAGTCCCCAACAAGAGCCAACCTAACATCAACCACGCGGCCAGTTATAGCCACTTGCTGTGGTACTTTAAGCCCGGAGGACCTACAAAGAGAAAAGGATCATCCGGAAAAAGGTACATAACCAAAAGAAAAATAATGTGCATATTCCGCTACAAGAAGAAAAGTGAATTCGAGTAGAAAATAGGATATATTACAACCCGAGCGATACGTATTTCTGCAAATATGCAACCAAACAGTAAATACACAATCCCATACATCCGGATACGGGTGTAACGTCAGGAAACGAAGATGAAGAGGGACAAAAATGACACACGAAGTCCCCAACAAGTGCCATTCTATACATTGTAGCATAAAATGGTTAGATTGTCACGTGCCAAAATCACGTAACCATTTTTTTACTATTTATCACTTATCCGTAATTTGAATTTCTCTTCATTGATGAGTGCCC